GGATGGCCCTCCTCCTGGTTCGGTGGGCGGCGTGGGCGGCGGCGCGTGGTGGCGGGGGTGGGGGTGGGGGAGGGGCTCTGCCCGCAGCCGCATCAACAGCAGCCTGCTGTACCAGAGGCTGCGCCCGGAACCGAAGCGGCTGAACTTGAGTGAGCCCCAACTTTGATCCCGTGGGAATCATTGGTGACATCATACACACCTTTCTGTATGTTTTCATATATTTTGTGGGCTGTTTGGATGAAAGCGCCCTCAACATTTCGCGCCGTTTTTGCGGAAGTCTCCATAAAGATAAGGCCATTTCTAGCGGCAAAGTCCGCACCCTCCTTAGTACTGACAGCACGGCGGTGTTCTAAATCAGATTTGTTCCCGATCAACATTACAACCATTTCTGTGTTAGCGTTGTGACGTGCTTCCTCTAGCCATCGTGTGAGATGATTGAAAGTTTCACGCCGAGTTACATCGTATACAAGCAGAGCTCCAGCTGCCCCGCGATAATATGACCGGGTGATGGAACGGAATGATTCTTGACCTGCAGTGTCCCAGATCTGCAGCTTGACTTGACGATCGTCGATTCCCACCAGTCGAGCACCAAACTACAACATTACTGTTATGGTTAGATGATCGCGGAAACGCTAACCTCGACCCCAATCGTGAGTTCATGTATGGCTTGGAAACGTTTGTCTGTGAACTGCCAAGAAATAAGAAATGGCTATGGCTCAAAAACACACCTGCAATAGTAGGCAACTCTTACCGACACCCGTGTCGCCGATGATAATGTATTTAAACAGGTATGCGTAACTCATGGCTTGTTGGGGAGTTTTGGACCGAGATTGAGTAATTCCATTTACGTACGACCGAGGTAATAAACAATAGGGCGATTGCTAAGATGGAACCAATCGGATAGATTAATCGTATGATGGAACCAAGTGGTCGAGAAAAGCATGATGGAACCAATATTCATGCCTATGATGGAAACAATCTAATGCGGGTTTGTCGACGCTACCTGAACCAATACCACTCAATGGACACTTTGATCATCTCCATACCCTGGTGATTAAAAACCCGCACGCCCATTACTTAGTGCGCGTAGAAAGTTTATGAAATAGATGATGGAACCAAGACTTCGACGCGAAATACATGATGGAACCAAGACTTGCGACTCCATTTTTCACTATGTCCTCGACAAGGCTTATTGCTTGGTTCCAACATAGATTTTGCGCCATATGATTCCAACGTAGATTCGCGAAATGCATGATGGAACCAAGACTTGCGACTCCATTTTTCACCATGTCCTCGACAAGGCTTATGGCTTGGTTCCAACATAGATTTTGCGCCATATGGTTCCAACATAGATTTGCGCCATAAATAGGAAATAAATAGGAAATAAATATCTAAATAAATGCAGATAAATATGAACGGGCAAATAAAAGAGCCGAGAATAACGGGGGCTATAAATGGGCAGCTACCCCAGCCGAGTGGGGTCCGTCTCGATATAGTGCGCGACGGCGAGGTCCGCCTTGATAGGCTACTCT